GACTCTAATACACGAAGCATAAGCGAAAAAATATTCTGAGACAAATATCCTTCACCCACCTGCTGTTGTTCCCAGTATATTCAACATCGCTGGTTAACAACCGACAGCTGTTATCATCGTATTACTGAAGTATAAAAGCCAAAGCGTCATCGTACGATTTTTGAATCAAATAATCAGTTAAAACAATATTTTACGATCGTAAACCTTGGGTAAGGCTGATTTTTGCTTATTAGGTATTATTTTTTTATATTTAAAAGTGAGCTCCGAATATTTTTCACTAGAGATATGCGGAGCCAACTTTTTTTGGTCCCGTTTGCGCACATCTCGAATCCTTACATAAGTGTAAAGATTTTAACTATAACTCATTTTGTATATATTGTGTGGTGTTCACCGTTATGAATAATCTGAACATATGGTGGTCTTAAACTTTCTCTTCGTTAATTACTGAACTTTTAAGTTTCAAGGCTAGCCGAATTCATTCGCTTTTTAGAAGACCACAGATACAGTAGGTTATAAGGAGCATACATAGACAACGTCTCGGTAGCCAAACGTTAAATACAAATTAACTTTACCTATTTGGACCTGAGTAGTGTGGAATCTGTCATGAAGAAAACCTATTTTGAAACTTTCTTAAAGAGACAATAAGTTTTTTGAGAACTATCTACACCATAATAAATCACACATTGTGACAAATTCTTCTTTATGGTTTCACATGTTTCTCTATACTTCAAGCTAGAGAATTCTGGTTTGTTGTACTCTAAACTAGCCACCTAACTACATGGGCTAACCGGCACCGAGTTTTCAATTAAGCCTTTATTCATTTTGTAGACAACCAATAATCTAAAAAATCTGCCTTCTAAAACGCTTCCTATTTTTCTAGAAACCCTCTCTTTGATAAAAAAACTATGACGTAATGGAAAACTCGGCACTTATCAGCCCATGTAGTGAGGTATCTAGTTAAAAATAAAGCAAACTCGAACCCTCTGACTTGCAGTATATTTAGAAGTCTTGGAAACACTTCATGCGAGTGGTAAGTTCGATGAAATATATTTATAAGATTTGTAACTTCAATAAATTTGGCAACATCGATATACGACATGTTTATACAACAACTAACATCCTATGTTTTAAGAATTCCATACAGTAGAATATTTCAGAAACATTCCTTCTATCACGATCAAACTTTGTAGAGAAACATTTTTACGAAAAGTTTGTTGATTATTGAAAATATTTTGAGCAAAAAGCATTCTGATAAAAATGTTTCACGGTTTACAAAATAATTTTTCGCTTTTTCACTATTGTAGAAACAAGTATTTTTTTATCTCGGTATTTCAGTTTTAAACTACATTTAAATCAAATACTAGATATGCTTTAGTTGAGGGCACTACTCATGCATTGCAGCCAAAAATTGAAAAATAGTAGAGCCGCTTGTGAATAATTTTGAAACATTTTCATGTTCTACAAATCGTATTTTTTAGGACTTTCTATAAGTCAATCAAAAGTTATTTGGTAACTTTTATTTGATAAATAGCGAGATGCTGTATTAACGATCATGAAAAGGCTAAAATGCACATAGATTTGGAAAATGATATATTTTGATTATAAAACTTTCACTGGCACATATTATATATATGTGTGTGTGCTTATATAAACAAAAGTTTATAATAAGAAGGTAGTAGTTGTCTAGAAAGTTTTGAAAAAATCTCATCCAGAAATAATCAAGTTTTAGAGCTTGTGATTAGAATGAGTGCTTCAGAATAAATGAATCTCTCAGTATTGTGGCTATAACTTTTTTTCTTTAAGGATATAGAGTGATTTCTTTTTTTTTTCTAAAGGTTCGTCGTTTTATTCGCTACAAAGAATATATTGAACAATTTTTTATATACAGTAAAAATAAAGGAATATAGGAATAATACTATGAAGTGTGGATAGAAGTATCAAGTTTTACAGACTCTTTCTTGTTTTATTCTTTTTGTCATATTTCAACCTCAAAAGGTCTCCATTAGAGAAGAATTTGATCGAACTAGCACCAAGCTTTTCAATGTCTATTTGGAAGCTTCGATACATGCCGAAGCTTGGTATACACAAATATCTTTATTGTCACCTCTTGAAAGAGGTGAAACATGATTACAAGAACATACAGCTTGTCTCACTGGTGCAGATCACTGAAAAATAAGTACTTTTAGAAAATAATCAAACTTTTTTAGATCAACTGAGAAAAATTTTTTAGCTTTAATGGTTAACGGCCAATCCTATCCGATTGATATTTTTATATACGGTTCCAACTTTGATCTATTAGCCACTAAAGCTGTGATCTTCTAACAAGTAGATGAAAAACATTCATTATGACATTCTTAATTTCTAAAACATTGAGTTCTGTAAATGACAAGGAGAAAATTTAAGACTACCATATGTTCAGCTTATTCACTACTGATAAATATTCTATAATACATGAAAAATGAGTCAGGCTTTAAATTATTGTCTTTGAAAATACGAATGTTTTGTAGAGAACGTTCGACACCAAAGAAATCGAGACTTTGTAGGTCTCACCAATCAAAAATTGAGATTTGACTATATTGTTTCACAATGTAAATTACTTTTAATATCTTTTTCCAAATAATCGAGTTTTTCTGAGGAGCTTTAGGAAACCGGATCATAGCTTAGAAGCTTGAAACATGAATATTCTGTTATTTTTCATGAATAGATAGTCTAAGGTGTCTCCTTCAAACTGGAAGTTAGGTGAGAGTCACATATTCGATCGTTTAGACCTGGCCTTTGAGCCCTAGGATCGATATATCTTTAGATCTAACAATCCCGAAAATGAATGAAAGCCAAAATTATCGACTACGCTGAGTCTCATGGCAATATTTGTTCTCTGAAGAAAATAAAAAGTCCAGTGATAACGTATAATAGGTGTAATAACCCGATTTAGGCTAGGTGGAAAAGAAATTAAAAAATTTATAACTCACTCAAAACTAATGCAGGCTACTTCAGAACATTAAAATAAACTCTATTGTGTCTGTTTAATTAGATTTTATATCAAGAACAAGTAGAAATAATTTTTTCCCTTTGGAAGATTTCTACAAAAAAAACTCTTTCAAATCTATGTTCCTTTCTATTGGTTTTGAAAAGTTTTGTAGACTTTCAGATCATTGTGCAGATACAATAGAATTTATCTTGGATTGTCACATCTAAAGACATATTAATCCTGTGGTTCTAAGACCAGGTCTAAACGATCGAATATGAGATTATCGCCTGATTTCCAGTTTGAAGAAGATATCTTGGGCTATCTATCCATGAAAAGTAACAGAATATTCATGTTTCTAACTTCTAAGCTATGACCTGATTTCCTAAAGCTCCTCAGAAAAACTCGGTTGTTTGGGAAAAGATATTAAAAATGACTTGCATTGTAAAATCTTGGAGTTAAGTCTTAACTTTCGATTGGTGAGAACCAAGTCTCGATCTTCTTTGTATCGAACGTTCTCCACATAACACCCTTTTTTTTTACAGACAGTATTTAGTTTCTTCTGTTTAGGTTTCTGAGACACTTACTTTTCAAATGTAGATATAACATCAATAAGAATGATTAGACACCTTATTTTTAATTGTATTTAGGAAATGAAATTGTGTATACTCTTAGTACTTTTTTATGGTTACATTTGTCATGCGAGCGACATTTGGTATCAAACGGAAATGTCTATACATCTTGTGCCACCATTTCAGAATGTATACACAACACTACAACAAAATATACTTGATAAATTATTAACTATTGATTCAAACACATTAAAAATAAATGATGGTGCATTCGCATCTTTTGCATCGAATCTTCATTGCGAAATAGAAAAGCTACTTAAATATCTTGATCTTTCTGTAACTGCCAGTAACAATATCCGAACTAAAGTCGACCAAAAACTAAGTACTATTGTCAAGGATATTTCAGCCAAGGAAAGTGAAATAGCCCGTGCTGATGGTCAAATTCGAGATATGAATGCAAGAATTCAAGCAAAACGGTCTCAAATAAGTACAGCTGAGCAATCTGTGAGACAAGCCGAAGGTTTAGTGGCAAATGCTCAAAATGAGTTAAGTCATGCTGAAAGAGAAGTTGAAGCTGCTCAATTATGTTCCGGATTATTTGGAAGACGAAAACGATTTCTAGGTAACCTATGGAATTCAATTCAAACCTCAGTTTTAAAACCAATAGAATCGGCAGTTAATCAAGCAGGTAACGCAATAGGATCAGTAGTTAATCAAGCAGGTAGCGCAATAGAATCAGCAGTTAATACAGCAGCTGGCGCAATAGTTGATAATGTAGTCAAACCTGTTTGTAGTGTTGTTAACTTTCAACAAGTCGATAATGCAAGAAGGAATGTTGAAAATAAAAAAAATGAACTATCTTCCCGTAGAAATCAAGTTCAGACATTTAAGAATGATTTAAATTCAATTCAAAACGATTTAATCATATATAATGCACAATTACTTAATTTAAATTCCCAATTAAATTACTTAAAAAATTCATTAAGTGCACTACCAAATGAACAACATATAATATTATCAATCAATCAAAAATTAAAAGATGTTGTTGCTCGTATACGGGCATTGTTCGGTAGTTCAACATCACTCCTAGATGTAGCAACAACAGTGATTGATTTTGAATCAGTTGTGAAACCATTAAACGCTATTTATGATGAATTACAACAAAATCAATTTATCGTATCATTCAATGCTGGCAAAATATCAATGGAGCAAGTAAATCAAGCCAAAACAAATTTGCAAGCATTGATTCCCTCAATAGCCAATACGCCATTCAATATGGAAATCACACGTTGTCCAAATTAATCAGACAACGTACCTTTTTTTATTTCAGAACGAATATTTGTATCATTCTTGAAATAATAATAAATCAAAATGAATCATATCTTTGGGATATGATTAAGCATATCAACCGATCACGAATCTTTGACCTACTGCTCCTGTGATAAAAATCATGTACTTGGAAAGAGCTGAAAAAACTGAGTATTTCCCTGAAATATTGGCAATGTGTGTAGTGTACTTCCAAGCAAAAATTTTTAAAAGTCTTTTCTCAGCAAGAACTGCTACTGTCTCTCTTCCTTCTCTCTATCACGTCGACGCTTTTTCTTTTTCTTCTTCTCACATGTGACGACGCGTATATCTGTGAAAGAGAAAAAAAGGAAGAACAATCAAACAACTAGCTGCGATGAACACAGTGATCGTCTTGTAGTAGTGGTGGTGTCCATAGAACAAAATTGAAGTTTTTCAAATCAATTGAGACGAAATGAAAACAGATGTTATAAGAATAGAAGTGATCTCTTCAAGACCGAATTATTGAAACTGTATCCACGTTCTTTAGGACTGTATTTCCAATCTAAAAGGTTCGACTTTGATTGTTCCAAGTGCAGCTGTATTCTCTCTTTCTCTCTCTCCTATAATTTGAAACAATTATCACTAACAATCTTGATTGTACAAAGTATATTTCTTTTCGACTCTCGATGTGATATCTCCTCTCTCTCTCTCTCACATTATTCTGATGAACAAGAAGTACTACTTACAACTTATTAAAGATTTGGAGTAAATAAAGTTGACCGTGATACAACAAGTGAAAAATATTTAATTTTCGTGAAAGATATGAATATGTGATTAGAAAATCTTTTATTACTGTCGTTGGAAACTCATGTTGAATCGAGAAGAGAAACATATATACATTTTACTTAATCAATCGTTTGATTCTATATAGCCAGATTTCAAATCGTGAATGTATTGAAGAGGTACTATATTTAAAATTTTAAGAGTTCTTTTCACACCTTCGATTTTGTGAAACACGATTGTTAATGATTGTTGAAGTTTATAGCGAAAAATTTGAACCTTCCCACCACACCCCACAAACCGTGACAGATACACAGACAGACGGATGGACATTGTTTTGATTTCGTGATAACCAGACAGAAACTTTTTTGGCTCAATCATAACCTATGACAGACATGCTGAATAAAATCTTCAGCGTCACAGACTGTGACTATGTTTTTCTTTTGCTATCATCACGGAGTATGATGGACGTTGCGACCGTTGTCCTTTAGATAAAACAGCTTCATTGTATTTCATCTTTCAATCCAATAGGGATTGCGCTGAAAGCTTTTCTTTTTAATAACATTAAAATGCGAGAAAGCAAACTGGTCTTTCAAAGTTCGATCAGTAACAATTTCAGGAAAGATCATCAGAGTTTGCCACTAATGTTTAAAATATTTCAAAAATAAAAAATGCAGCATAACTTTGAATTATGCGCGTCCACACCCACCCAAACCCCTCAGCACTGCCAATTTGCAATTACAGAGCCTTGACCAGGAGCTTCTCTCTTTTTGTTCAAATAATATCTTGTGGAGATAATTACAGGAACAACAGTGGTATAATGGCATTATAACGCCTCCAAATAAAAATAAAAATAATGATGCAAAACGGTCACAGAGAACGTCCACCAAAAAATGCTATTTAGGTATTTCTAAAAAATGAATTATTTTCGAAGTATTAAAATGATTTTTTGATCAATATTATATTGCCTATAACAAAAACCATTTTTTATTATTATATGTGACCGGGTGTGGGGTGTGGATGTTAGAGAAAAGAATACCATTACCCACGCCCACACTCTGAAGATTTACATGTATTAGCATGGAAGAAATGAAGTTTCATCATCAATTCTCTTACTTTGATTCTACCTTGTTACTTGATAGACCAAAAACTGCTCAACTATGTATTAATTCGCATGTTACAATATTGCTATCATTAAACATACGCATTATCTACGTATTCTGCTATGACAGACATCAATAATTATGAGTAAACATTACGGTTTGAACATTTCTTTATTGTTTACAGCTGTCATTTATTCTATGCCAGATTTCTTGGAGTAAAGCGTGCGGAAAAACAAGCAGATCAATATTCGCATACTTAGACTTTAACAGCCGGCAACGCTTAAATTATAGGTGTATGAAATAATGTTCTCTCAGCATTATTGATGGCTGTCATAGCATAATGTGTAGATGACACATATGCTTAATGATAACAACATTGTAACATACGGATTAATACATAGTTGAGCAGTTTTTAGTCCACCAAATAACGATGTAGAACTAAAGTAAGAGGATTGATGATGAAGCTTCATCTCTTTCATGCTAATGCATGTAAATCTTCAATGTTCAATGTCTCAAATGTGATCTCTCACGAGTAGAATTGATTCGTTTTGTCCAGTTAAAGATTTCATAGGAAAGAACGCTTTATACTACAAAAATCAGCTGATTCGGCTATACAAATTGGTATGCATCCGATTCAAAATGGTGTGTCACACTTGGATATCTTCCCTTGTTAGCTTGAAATAAGCGAGCTTTATCATACTGATAAATAAAGAAAATAGAATAAAAAAAAAAGTAAAAGATCATCATATAAATAAACAGAAAAAGAAATATAGAGATAGAGAGAATACATTCATATAGTTTTCTGGAATGAATGAATGAATGACAATTAGCATATTACATTAGTTTGTATTGTTATTATCATTGTTATTATTAATCACTCAAAAAAAGCCTGATGAATTCGAGCTATTTCACGTAGAATTGATGTTTGAATAAGAAAACCTCGAGAGTTATTCGTCACATCTTTCCATATTGCCACACCCTAAATAAATATATTATAAAAAATAATCATTTCATTTTAGATTAAAAACAATAAACATACATCTTGTCGCAAATTAGGAAATGGTGTGTTTGAATCATAATGAAAATTCCATATTTCTGCTTCTACCCAAGCATTATCTGTATTACGTAGATCATCAATGTATCCTAAAATAATAATAATAATAATAAATTTAAACTAAAAGAATAAAAACAAAAATCTCTTTGAATTACCTCGATAGATCATATCAGATTCAATTCCAGTTGGTTCAAAAGTAGAAAGAGAAGCACGAGCAAATGATTCAAAATACTAAATATGAATTTATTTTAGTTAAATATCAAAGAAACTCAATAATAAGATTTTACTTTAATCATATCATTTTCTTCAAATGAAAAACTATGTTCAGAATCATTATCTTTAAAAGCAAGCTCATGAAAACTACGACATATAGCACCATATGGAGATTCGATACCTAAAATTTTTGCCTTAATAACAAAAGAAAAAAGAAGTTTAATTCGAAAAGAAAAATTAAAAATACTTCAGGTAATTTCCAATCATTTGTATATTTATCTTTAAATACTAAAGTTTCTAAAATTCTTTGTCCGTCAATAACAGCAAATTGATCATGATGTTTTTTCCATCGTGTTATTACAGCCATAATAGATTTATTTGGTCCCCATCGAATTAATGCACCACGACCACGTACACCTGTACGACCCATAGGATTCCTATTGAAATATGAAATATAAATCTATATATAGGATTTCATATATTTATATACAAAGGTATTGATAATTGATTATCTAATCTATAGACTGAAGATATTTTATCTTCCGAAGTTGCAATCCAAGTTGTTCGATCAATACGAATCTGAAAATATAAATTCGATGATTCTATTCAGGAAAAAAAAACAGAATGAAAAACCTTTTTTCCATCGGGTAATTGTGATTCAACAACTTGATTCCATTTATAATCTATTAATGGATTAGTAATATCAGTCATTGTTGTCACTGATGGTTCAATAGTTCTAAATAAATCCAATTGAAATATAATCGGAGTTTAATTAAATAAAAAACCTAACTTACAAATGGGGTTCAACAAATAGTCGTTCATAGTCTTGAAAACAATCGTGTTGTTTTGGTAATGAAATTACTGTTGGATCATATAAATCAAATGAAATCTAAAAATTTCAAATTTTTATTAAATTTCTTTGAAAAAAAAGAAAATAACCTTCCAAGAAATATATCTTTCTGTAACTGGAAATCGTGCTTCATTTGTATAAATATATGGTGATTCTCTTGATAAGATATGAATAAATTTTTGATATGCTGGTAATGATTTATTTTCTTGTTTAATTGTTGAATGAATTTTTTCAAGTAATATTTGTGAATCAATTAGTAATTTTCCTGATGTAACAACACGATCACTAACGTGTCGTAATGATTTTCGTAGTATATCAATATCTTTTTGCATATTTATTGTACTAAAATTAATTTTTTTTATGAAGAAAAATAAAAATAAAATTTTTTATTTTTACCATTTAGATAAACTATCAAGTTTTTCTTGTACTTTATCAGTTTCTTGTGTTTTAGCATAAAATTCTTTAGCTTTAAATTTCCAATATACATTAGTTTCACTATTTTCCAATTTACTTTTATCCGCATTCTAGAATAAATTATTTTTAATGATCAAATATAAAAAAGAAAATATTTATTCTAAATACAATTTTCTTTTTATGATTTTCTATAACTTTTTGATATGGTTTACAACTAAGTAAACATTGGAATATTGAACGATTTTGAATTACTTCATTTGATGTATCTTTAAATTCATCTGTATTATTATCTTTTGTTACTGAAATAAATCGAATAATAAAACTTTGATTTTTCTTTTTAGTATAGTAAATATTTATACCTGTTGGAGTCGATTGTGGAAGAATTTGAACTGTAGAAATATTTTTCTTATCAGTATAGTCTTTTAATTTTAGCAAACATTGAGAAGTACAACTTGTTATTAACATAACTATTGTAAAAAGAAAAAGATTTATATGTTTCGTTAAAATTTATGAAATTCAGCCTATAGATAGATTTATGATGCTGAAAAATATCATATAAATTTTAGCCAAAAAATAATGTTTTGTTTATTGAACTATTAAA